TTACAACTAGAACAATGAGCTGATGCCTTCTGGTGTTGATGTTACATCATTGAGGACGCAGCAAGATGTATGGAAGAGTTATCAATGTGCTGAACTACCATTTGAGTTACGTCTCTTAAACTCCATGGTGTGGCAAGAATGCCACATTCCTCAGGGGCTGCAGGATGGGGTTCTGCCTGCACAGCAAGACAGCTGTAGTATGAACAGCCATCTCAATTAGTGCTCCGCTGTGGCTGACACTTTGAGGATCTCCTGTCAGAACATATGGCAATCCATTCATCATGAGAGACGGTGCAAATTTCTGCAGGTCTGGAGAATTCAGGAGTCTGGAGCTTTGGATGAACTCTGTCACAGCATCTCTTTGCTGAAAGCACATATTTAAAAGAAATGAAACCAGCATCATTGCCCATCAGACTGCAGAGGAATAGCAGCTTCTTCCCACGCTGTGTTTTTCCCTGCTTTGAAAGCACATTTGCCCAGAACAGGGCATAACCCGAAAAAATGTTCTTCCACCAATGATTCACATCTCTCTTACCCCTATCAATGAAACATGGCCCCCAGAATGAGTGTCTTACCTGCTGCTTGGGATGAAGATCTGAGTCACTAAATCGACACCTTTGACCTCTCTGAAAATAGCCAGAAGCAGATGGACAGATTGTACAGCTGGGTTGCTGCTACAGGCCAGAAAAAGGAGAGCTGATGATTGAAGACAGAAGAGGTGACTGTTGTTAAGGCTGAACGTTTACAAGGCTTCAGTTGGTTATTGGATCAGCAAGCTTCAGCAGGCCTGCATTAAAGCTATGCCCACATGAAGGGCGGTAGTGCAGACATGGCTGTTCAAGTCGTAAATGAGTAAATTGACAGACTTCAAGATGATTGTGTGTTTTATTTATGAAACTTAAAACATTCTGTTCTCATCTAGTTGGAATTGCAATCCCACTACGTAGCACTGTGTGTGTGTCAACCTCCAAACCAACACACAAGTGAAGAAAAAACATTACTGGTGAATGTGAGGGGGTTGAGATGGGCTGCTACGCCAACCAGTGCTGGGTAGCAGCGCCTCTTCGTGCTGTAAGTGCTGGACTGTGGAGCAGCTGCAGAGGACGACGACAAGGCCTCCCAACCTCAGGGTCCACCAGGAGGGGCTGCGGGACACCCCCTGCTTATGGCCTCATCCATGGCAGTGACCCTGCCAATGTCCTGTGAGGCTGCGAGGAGAGGAGCATGGCTGGGAGCGCTCAGCACTCAGCCCCCCGCTGCCCCATGGGAACAGCGATGTCCTTGGAGACCCTGGCCCCCAGCAGGGCCCCCTCCTGCCTGCTGCAGCTGTACCAACAGCCTGGGCAACAGCACAATGCCAGCAGGCTGCAGAGCGGGGAGGAAGGCCCTGGCATCACCGGTGAGCTTTGGGAACAGGGAATAAGGGCCCTTCTTGTGGGTAGGATCCATGCAACAGGTTCTCCTCCAGCCCCAGGCCCTGAGATGCCTCCAGCCCATCCCATGGAGCTCCACTGAGGTCTTCACCCCAACCCCTGGTTCTTTGCACAGCCTCAAACTGCAGCCGTGAGCCTGATTTTGGTGAACCATGAAAGAAGCACTGCAGCTCCAGAAGACCCGCAGTGCTGTCAGCAACCAGCGTGGCTCTGGGAGTGGGGTGAGTGTGGGGCAGAGCAGACTCCCTGCCATTCTCTGGATGAAGCTAACGGTGATGGAAGCAGCCGACATAAAGACATAATGACTGGTCAGGAAACAAAGCCAAAAGGAAACTTGCACAGGATAAGCAGCACTAAGTGCTGTGCTGGTGTGAAGGGGAACATGGGCATCTGTGTGCACGCACACACAGCCAGAGCACTGAAGGAATTTTGGCCGTGTCCAATCAAAACTCACACGGCTGGCTTAGTGAACAGTGCAGTTTACTAGCAATGGATGACAGGTTCTTTTGGATTGCCAGTGAAGAATTCACTGTCTGCCAAGTGTATGAGGTTAACCAAGAATAATACAAAGCATCTGCAAAGAACTAAGTGTAATACAGCCTGACCACCAGCATCCTAAGGTATAAAACAACTCCATAGAGACTACTAAGTTTCCTAGGGAAGCACTCAGCATAGCCAAGGGTGCAAATCTTACCCAAGGTGAGTCCCTATGGGGGGAGGAGAGGCTCAGCCCCTTGGCAGATCCCAGAGGTGAGATATAGGCCACGTCTGACCTGTCTGCAATGGGATCTTCCTTAATCTTCCCTCCTTCTTGACCCACTTTTATCATAGAATCATAGAATGGCTTGGGTTGGAAGGAATCTAAAAGATCACTGAGATCCAACACCCCTGCCATGGGCTGCTTTCCAACCACCAGATCAGAATGACCAGAGTTCCCATCCAACCTGGCCCTAAACACCTCCAGGGCTCATGCTCAGTGAGGAGTGGTCATGCCTTGGAGGCAGGCAGCCTTTGGGACGGACATGTGTTTTGGTATTATAACAAGTGTATAATGAGCAAAGTTCAACCAAAGACAGCTTTTTGTCAAGAAGATGACAGACTTGGGGAAGTAGTTTAGCACCACAAAGTTCCCATCCTAGCACTGCTCTTGTTGAAGTCAGTACATCAGTTCTCTTGATGTTATTGATACCTTGTGCTGCTTAGGGAACTACTGTAGGTCACAGCACTTGGCTGTGGAGCTCCACTCCACTCTACCTTCTGTGCAATTTAGTGGCATAGAGGCTGTACTCTGCTCTTGTGCACCTGTGAATGACCCGTACCTTAATTTCCAGTGAACAGTGCTACACCTTAAGCTATTATCCCACATATTCTACCCTGTGATTGTAATCACTCAAGCTACATGATATTCAGAAGGAATGAGGAGTGTCTTGTGAGGATTATCAGTCACATCAAATACGTATATATCTTGTGAGTATGGAAGATGAGCTTAGTGTTCCCCCATATTCCAAAATCTAACGTCCATGGTAATTATCAAATTAAGGCAGAGAGCAGTGCATATTAGTTAAACAACAACATGGTGACGCTTCCAGAAGCAATTGGTGACCATGGTCCCACTCATGATGTTCTCCATCCTTCACTCTTTCCAGGACAGAGTGCAGTGCTTCTACAATGTGATGGACACTCACCAGAGTTTTTGTCCATTTTCTCAAACCTGCACCAACAGTCACTTCAAGTCTTCACATCACAGCCACCCAACCTGCATAGGCAGCTCAGCCACCTCCATGTACAGCCTGGATCCCCTCAGCATTGCTGCCCTGCAGGGCTAGGGGTGTCCTGGGGGATCACACTGTGCTGCAAGGCTCATTGCCCCCATGGGCACCATGTGCCACTTCCCCGTCCTCCATGTATGTCCCTTGCTCTGTTCCATGCATCCCACCAGCCCAGGCAGAACTGGTGGCCCAGTATGCAGTCATTGGGTGCATGGACATGGGGATGGGCTGGTGCCTGCATGCAGATCTCAGTCCTGCTGGGAGCTGCTCAGGGGGCACAGCAGAACCAGGACGTAGGGAGAATCCATCCCAAGTGACTTCATCCAGAAGGGCACAAAGCTGTGGGGAACTGGCCAGGGGGCAACTGCTGCTTGGGTGGGTGCTTGGCATCAGTTGGTAAGCAGCAAGTGATTGCATTGTGAATATACATATATATAGTTATTATCATATTCTTGTTTCCATTTTCCTTTTCTGTCTTAGTAAATAGTTTTTAAATCAACCCACAGGTTCTTTGTGGCAGTTTTGCTGAATAGTGATTGTGCTGAGCAGAGGTCACACAACATAGGGACTGTCTGGACCGTGCAGTGAATGTTTGTTGCAGTACATTCTGTGATGTAGGTTCTTGGCCATGCACCCAGTGGTGTCAAGGAAGGTGCAGAAGCAGGCTCACAGGAGCTGAGTACCAGTGTCCCGTTTCTTTGCTGTCTATGTGATCCCATACTCCTAATACCTGTCTGGCCACCTCCAAGAGAGAAGACTCTGAAAGACTTTCCTACCAGAGCAGGGTGTTATGTAGTGCCCTAAGCAGCCCTTGGGCCTTTGTTTTTTTGCATCACCCAGCAGTCAGCCCTTGCACCTTCCCCTGTACCAGTGCTCATATGACTCCCAGCAATGACTGACATGCACCCATACACCCCAGTGCCCGATGGAACGCATCACAGAGCAGAGGAAAAGCTGTGTGGGGTTAGCACAGTGCAGCTTTATTTCCGTGGAGCAGGAGGAAGTTCTCTCCCACGGGTTCAGATCCCATAGCACACAACTTGCCAGCCCACAGCCATACCCCACCACAGCTTTTGCAGCTAGCCCTGCGGCCAGCTGCAGCACCCCTGCTTAAGAGGCACGGTTCCCACAGTCGGGTTCCCCCGCTATGGGGACAGCCATAGCTCCCCTCACTTACACAGCCCTTCTGCTAGGCAGATGCAGGAGCATGCCCAGGCTGCCCAGGTCCTGCTGGAGCAGCGATGTGCAGAGCGAGGCACTGCTGGGTACTGCCAGGCCTGGGCTGGATGAGAGCCACCTCCCAAGTGCTGCGTGGGGATTTTAGATCCCTGCAGGGCTCCCCGCAAGGCTCCCAGGCAGGTTTGCAAGTGGCTGCATGACTGCACCTTGCTCAGACCATTTCCACCAGTTTGGCAGGGAGCGGTCATGATGGTGTAAAGCACAGAGTGGGCTGCAGGACTGGAGGGCAGAAGGGCATTGCACGTGGGGTTTCCATCTCCCCCTTACTTGTGGGGGGCACTTTGAGGCTGCCACACAGAGAGGAACAAAGCCAACACTCGGGTCAGGTGCCTATAAACCCCCTCACAGACAAAGCTCAGCTACAGGGAAACACACACGCACACACACTGGGCCACGGTCAGCACTCCCCAGAGGACACAGACAGAGGTGACGCGGAAGGCAGGAGGAGGTGGGGGTCCAACACCCGGCCTGGTGCAGGGCAGGGCTGCCCAGACCAGGAGCCGTGGGGGCCGTGGCCGAGGGCAGGTCCTGCCATGCCCTGCCCCGCTGCCTCCTGCCCCTCTCTGCGGCACGCAGCACTGCCCCGGGCACGGTGGGCAGCGAGACCCGTGGGGAGTCACGTCACCCCTCCGATGCGTCTTGCCGAGAGTGCTGCAGGCTGCGAAGAGAACTGAAAAGTGCTTAGAAAAGAGAGAAACCCCTAGAAAACCCACCCCAGACAAGAGCCCGACCTCGCCTCCCTGCCCACGGCATCCCTGCTGGCCCGGGGCAACACCACAGAGGAAGGGGGGGCCGGGGCCGGGGCCAGCTGGGGTGGGAGGCACTCGGAGCACCCAGGCTCGCCCCATCCCTGCCCTCTACACCAAGGCGTAGTCAAACTGGCCCCTCTCCAACCCCTCCTTGTGGTCAGTCCAGGAGGAGGCAGGCATGCGGCTGTAGGGGTCCAGCAGGATGCGAAAGCAGCGCACCATCAGCATCACCAAGAAGACGAGGAGGAAGATGACAAAGGCAAAGACGGTTTTCTGCTCGGCATCCATGCCCGCAGTGCTGGCCGGGTGCTCAACCAAGGACGGGGACAGCAGTTCATAATCCATCGTCGATGCATCATTCATGGCAGAGGTGAGGCACACGAGCTGCAAAGAGCACGAGGACAGGGAGCATCAGGGCTTGGGCAGCCAGCTCCAGCCTCCTGCTGTGCACCTGGAACACCACCTGTACCGCTCACTCCATAGCCACCAGCACTGCTAAGCTGAGCCAAGGAGCTCAGGATTCACTCCTGTGCAGACCGAGAGCTCCTGGAGGAAAAAGCAAGACGGAGAGAGAGGAGGAATTGGCCGCGGGCTTCAGCTAAAGAGCACCTTAGCTGCTAAATAATTAGAGACGGGAGAGGGCAGGGAAGAGTCTCTGTTGCCAGAATTGCAGTTCTGTGCTTGCTGACGCAGCCAGACAAGCAGTCAGTTATCTGAGAGAAAAGCCTGGGGACAGTGATATTTATGGCCAGAGGCTGAATTTAGTACGTATTTTCAGGCAGGAAACATGGGAAGAGTATTTGTTAATTGAAAAGTAGTACTCTCAGCTTGAAACTTTTCGTAATTATTATTGTTTTAAATTCAACTTCTAAACTGTCAGCATTCACCAGGAGTCATTTTTGCTTCAAGTAATTTAAGAATCAGAGGGGTTATTGTTTTTACTTTTGGCAGCTGAAGAAGTGAGAAAGACAACAGGAAGGAGGAGTAAATGTAGGGAGGAGGTGCTTTGTAGAAAGTGAGGATGTTTCAAAAGGAAATCTCCCTTACCACCTCAAAGACACAGGTTCACAAGTGGGTCCATGGTTTTCTGGCAAGCTCAGGAAGCACTGCCACAGTGATGCCACTCAGCAGGGACACAAAGGAACGGGGTGGGTGGCAACTTAGTCTGCTAGTCCTGAGCTTGCCTCTACGTAAATCCCCAGAGTCCCTCTGGAGAGGCTAGCTGCCTGCCAAGCACAGTGCTGCACGTGGGACCACTTGCCCTGAATCACAGGAAAATGAGACTGAGGACCTTAGCTGTGAATCTGAGGAGGTTTCTCAGGGCTTTACTTGTCTGGCCTTGACAATTTCCCAAGATGGGCACAAGCTCAGTTTGCCCATTCTCACCAAGGGTGATGTTTTCAGCTGCTGTGTGTCACTTGAGTTAATGACTGCCTTCAGTTTTGGACCAGGCCTAGAAGGGGCTGAGTCCTGGAGGAGAAGGAGAGCACGTACCTCACTCCAGCTGTGTGGGTGCACTAGCATTGCTGTTGCAGGAGAAGCAGAAGACTGCCTCCCAACAGCCACATCACTGAGCAAAGATCTCCAGGATCCAGCTTTCTTGGGCTAGGGATGAAAAGCAGAAAGACAAATTGACAGAAGTTAAAAGAATAGCAGTCATTTAGCTGTCATAACAAAGCAACAAAGACATTCCTGATTTAGCAAATGCTGTGAGTTCACAGTGTCTCTTAGACCAGGGCTCTCCTGGGTAGGACAACATCTTTACCAAAGTCCCCTTGCTCCATCCTGGAGCCTGAGTGCTCTTAGTGTTGTGGAGACTGCAGCAAAAGGTCCCACTAGGAGACACCCAGCCAAGCATGCCCCTGCCCTCCAGGCAGCAATACTGGGAGCAACTATCGGTAGGAAAAGGCAGCCAGCTATGGACCACAGAATGTTTGACATGGCTCTGACTCATGCTGAACACCTGCTCTCTTTCGTTTATCTGCACCTCCTGGGACACCGCAAGGAACAGTGCTTGCAGGCTTTAAAAATAATTTCATATCACAAAAACAGAAAAATAAAGGGCAACAGCAGCAGCAAGGTGAGAAAGAGGGGTGTGCTCTCTGTCCACCTTCCTGAGTCCCAGGATTCAGTTGCAAGACAGTGACCCAGTGCCCTGTGATCTGTATAGAGGTAAGCTACTCCTGTTTCTGAGTACACTGTGAATGGAAATGGTGATGTGTGCAGAAGGAAGCTCTGATATCTGTCACAACTTCCCGCAGCAGAAGTGATCTGCCACTTGTTGGAGATTGGCTGATCCTCACATGCTGCACTTTTCAGTCCAGCACAGTTTGTGATCAGGGGGTGAGAGGCACTTAATAGACAAATCCCCTTCCCTCTGTCCTTGCTTGAGAAGCCTAAACAGGCAAAAGCAAGATTTGATAGTGAAGAGGCTGAATGGGTGTGGGCACAGTCCTGAACAGAGCTGATCACAACTGCTCTCTGGTCCCTTTTCACCCCATTTATTTGGTACTCTCCCTTCCCAGAATATCTTTTGTGTCTAGGCCAGACATAGAATGTTCTCTTGATAGGCATCTCTACAGCAGTGTGCAGCACAGCCCAGTTCTCCCACTGGCACAAAGCACCACCGAAACACATTTCTCTATATGGATGATGAGCCCTGAGCTGGCATCTATGCCGATACTTGGCCAAGGTATGTCTAAACCCCAAATACCAACCACTCCAAAACAGCTTTCTCAACACTTCCACTGACACCAGCTTCCCAATTACATGTCAAGGCTTCTTATGTCCTTGGAGGGTGAGTAGTATCTTTACCTTCATTTGTCAGCTACATTATTGCAGGGAAGTACGCACTGCACATCTCCAAAGGGAAACTACTTATATCCAGTGTCCCAGTGACAGGATGCACCCCTAGGATGACTGCAATCAGAAGTCTCTTGGATTGTGAAGTGCTCATCATGCTGAGGTTTACACCCACCTCCCATATATTCTCAACCATGCTGGAAGCCCAGCTCAAGCAGTGTGGAGCCTGTGGGTCTGCCAGATAGAACCTTTTAGCGCTTCAGGAAGGCACCAGCTCTCATGAGCTACCTCTCAAGGACAGCACATGGGTCATTATCTCCAATGACAGGTCTCCATCACAGGAATGACTGATTGGGCGAAGGCACGCGTGGCCCTGGCAGGTTCTGGTCCATAGTGCTCTCACAAAAACACAGATATATACCCTGATCTTGGGAAATCGTGCTGGCTCAGGACCCAACCATCTGCTGGCAGGTCTATGGAGGAAGACCAGGACTGTTCAGCCAAGCAGTGCCATGGGCAGAGAGGAGCACTTCTCGTACCTTCTCTGTCAGGGATTTTGACAAATGTATCATCTGATCTTTAATGAGTACAAATTGCAAATATTAGATTTCTATGGCAGTTCCTGCCTTCCCTGGTAGCAGCCGCCCAAGCAGTCAGTTAGGCTCCCTCAGGCCTACACTGGCAAGCCTCTGACTCTCCCTTGCTCTCGTGCTGTGGATTCCCATGTCATGAGTACTGCATCAGGAGAGGAGAAGGATGGGGTGAACGAACTGAGCTGGGGAGTTTTCCAGCTGAGCAGGAAGCACATTTCGCAGTCAGCAGAGAATGGCCAGCCCCAGAGCACAGTGCCTTGTAGAACCTGGCTCCTCACACTCTGCAAGGAGTGGTCAGTAGTCCAGAGGTGGATGTGAACCATGAAGATGAGGACAGAGTTGAGAATAAAGCATCCCCAGGGCCTCAAAGTGAGCTGACTTCTTTGCCTGGAAGCTCTTCAGACTGGTCTGATATTGTTCCCATGGAAAGATGGTGGTCAGACACAGAGTGAGCACAGAAGCAGATGATGGTTCCACGTGACCCAATCAGAGGGGCCACAGAGATGATTCAGAGCCTGGAGCATCTTCTGCATGAGGAAAGGCTGAGAGCCGTGGGACTATTCAGCCTGGAGAAGAGAAAGCTGAGGGGGATCTCATCACTGTTTATAAATATCTGAAGTGTGTGAGTCAAGTCGATGGAGGCGGACTCCTTTTGATGGCAAACAGCAATAGAACAATGGGCAACAGGAAGAATCTGGAACACGGGAAGCTCCACAGTAACACAAGGAAGAACTTCTTCATTGTCAGAGTGACAGAGCACAGGAGCGGGCTGCCCAAGAGAGGTGGTGGAGTCTCCTCCTATGGAGACATTTGAGACCCATCTGAACACCAACATGTGTGACCTATGGAAGGAAACCTGCTTCAGCAGGGGGACTGGACTCCATTTCTAGAGGTCCTTTTCAACCCTTTCAAGTCTGTGACTCTGTAATACTAAGTGACCTTCCAACAGTTTCTGAAAATCCCAAGCTAGAGTGTCAGGGCCTAGAGATGTTCATGGACCTTTTTGTAATTCGATTTCATAGAGCTGAACAGAGAGCAAAGCTAAAATGTGTAGGTGGGAACCAGCTGCTGTTCCACAGGAGACATTCAGTAACGTCATCCTATAACTTCCACACATAGCACAGTGACTTTCTGGACACGCACAGAAATTTTTGGCCACATCTGTCAGAATTCAGACTTTGGTGAAAATAGCTCAGAGATCAAATAAACAAAAGCAACCAGGCTCCTTATCACAGGCTCCTTCTCTCCCTCTGCCAATTATTCTTCCAGAAGTTATACTGCATGAGGCTGTGGGGCTGAAAATTGCAATAATCTCTGCAGAGAGAGCTCTTCCCAAGTGCTAACTATGTGTGTAACTATGTGTAACTAACAAGTGCCCAGCTCGGTGCTGGGATAACTGGGGCCTTCTGTGATCTGGTCATTGTGATTGCACAAAGACAGCATCTCAGAGTCCAACCCTGCACCAAGAGCCCTAACGCCATGTCTTGCATTAACATGGCAGAGCATCCCTGCTTTGTGGCTGCCAAGAAGCCACTGCTGGCTGAGTGACTTCCACCAGCTGCAGCCCTCCACCAGAGACTTCAGTGGAGATTCATGCTTCCCATGGATACATCTGGGTTAGGAGAATTCCAATTTGTAATCCTTGGTACCAGCGATGCTGAGAACAGGTCCTGCTGCAATATAATCAACGCAAGCACAAATCATGTGTCTGGAGGTGCCCAACTGACTTGTAACTGATATCAAAAATGCAGGGAGAAACATGCATATGTGGAGGAAAATACAAGGTTTTCTGCCAAATCGTAACCCTGTATTAAAATATTTCTCTCGCATTCAGGATGTGTTGCTATTTTATTACCATGTGAAGAATCAGACCTTAATTTCCCAAGAAAATGCTGGTAAGGTAGTTAAGTGAAGGCAGCTGTTATTTAAGGAATATGTGATTGAGTTTTATTAAGATTCATGTTCCCTTAGTAACTAAAAAGAATGCATGAGCAAGGAAATGACTAAACAGGGAGAGAACTCACAAAGGAAGAGGACTGTCAACTATTTAGCAACACCGTGGGGATATTTTTACGGGTACAAAACACAAATTAAATGTTAATTTGGCAAATGACAAATATCTAATGAAATATTAACCTCAAAAAGAGGCACAGAACAGTGTTTACAATGCAGGATGCCATCTGGTGTGGAGGGCTCACCCTTCCCACTGGAGACACCTCCAAATGGAGACTGATCCCATGAGTAGCAGTGGCAGAGGGATGGGACCATGGAGGGATGGAGCCATGGCATGACTCAGCCTGCTGCCTGCACTGCCCTCAGACAGATCCACTAGCATCAGCTTATTCCACCCTCCCAGTCCTTGCAGGTTTTTGACCAAAAGACAAGAGCGAGAGCTAGCTGCTGTATGGGAAAGCACAAAAGGAATCAGTGGGAAGGGAACCCAGCTGTGGAGCCAGGGCCTGAGGCAGCTCACCAAGGCACTAACAACCCTTGTCTTACAGTGCTGGGAGATGAAGACAGCTTTTCAACACTGTAGTTGATATCAAGAAACACCCAGCCCTGCAAAGGATGCATTTTAGTGGCAGAAATTGAAAAAAGACCCACGTGATTGACACAGTGAAGCAGAACTGTACCCGAAGTGCTGGCCTATTCCAAGAATGGAACTGGAAGATGAGCACTATTATGAGTGAAGCAGGGTTTAATTGCACTGTGTCATGGATGCAGTCCAACAGCCAGGGAGGGACTTCATTTGCACGCTTTTAAATAAACGCAACTTTCTTAGTCCCATCTCACAACAAAAGAAGACATGTACAATTATATAGCATCAATAAATGTGTGTAATATCTTAAGCAGAGAAAGCAGAACTAGTTCTGATGGAGGAGAGTTCTGAGGGGGCTAAAATGCTCAGCTCCACATGAAGAGAGCAAACAAAATGTCTGCATGCAAGGAACGGCATCAAATTCATAAGGATGCTGCTAAAGCAACCCTGCTTTTCAAAGCACAGATCCACTGTTGCTCTCCATACAAACCTACGTAAGGCAAGCTGGAGGAATATCCCAAATACCCAGGGTTCAAGGAGGAATTGGTGTGCAAAATGAGCAGGACAGGGGAGCAATGCCACATACACGCTCTGCTCAGAGCTGGGAGCACTCAGCTGCTCTGCAGGAGCCAGGGGTCTCACAGGACCCGGCTCCACATGTTCCCTGTTGTTAATATTCATCCCACTGCCGTGCATGGCACACAACCTCCTGTTGCAACCGGAGAGCAAACGCGATTGCCAGGGAGACAGGGAAGCAAGCAACCCTTGTGAGGGCTGCAGGCAAAGTGCTTAAGCAAGAGGTCTGCAGGCCTACCAGCTCCAGAGAGAGACGGAAAGGCTTTACTTGCGGCACTGAAGGATTTTGTCTCTCCCTCCGCTGCTCCACAGCCGTGCTTCCTGGCCCACAGGCCCTTCTCCTTCAGAGCCAGGCTGGGCACACCTCTGGCACTGCCATAGGGATCTCGCTGCACAGCAGAATTCTTGGCAGGGCTTGCATTGCCTTTTTCAGTCAATGTTGCTGCTGATTCCCCACAGTAACAAATGAACACATGCCACTGGGTTACTGCACGGCTGCCAGGATCAACAGAGCTGCTGCCACAGCCAGGGGCAGCTGGAGATCCCTCTAAGGAGGGAATAAGAGGAGCTGCATCCCCTCTTCACTCCTTCCCAAACGATTGCATTCACCTGCCATTCTGCAGTGCTCACCTTTCCTCTGGAGGAAACTTTCTCCCACAGGATCTCCTCCTGTTCCAGCCTAGTTATGCCCCTCAGAAAGAGAGAATTTGTAGGCTCTGTTTCCAGGAACAAGCACCCGATCGTCTGTGGAATCCGTCCCACAGGGCTATAGATCATGGCATGGAGACATGCATTACAGGCTTCTGCTCCAAAGCAGTGCCCTGGAATGGGCTGTGGGTCCCTTACAAGCAGTCTGCAGGGATGAGTGGCAGCAGTTAGTTTTCCTTCAGGAGGGCCTCCACCACCAGCCCTGCCAGCACCTCTCCATCACTTGGCTCAGCTCCCAGCTCCCATGAAGGTCCAAGGAAGACCCCAAGTGTCAGCAGGATCCCTTAACTGCACCAATGGGTCCAGATGTCCCCTCATGCTCTAAAGAATGTTTAACGTTTGCTTTCGAGCATCTTCCAGAAGGAATGACACTTCTGTCCTGCAGGACTGTCATGGACTACACAGGTCGAGACCCTGGGAGGGATGCTCTGTGACTCTCCTCTGCCCCATGCGCTGTGCAGGGAGGCACCAGGGCAGGGGCTGAGGAATGCCCATCTGCCCATGACATGAAGAACCGGGCTGAGGGGATGTACCCACAGCCCTTTGCCTGGGCTGCAGGAGGACCCCAGGCCCTTTCTGCCCACTGCCCCTTGGTTCCATCCCAGCCCTGCAGCCCTGCACGTCTGTAACCCAAGCCCCCTTGTAAAAGGCTGGCAAGTCTTCTGACAACCAGCCCATGGCTAACAGGAAGGCTGGCACTCTGCTGTTTTTCTGGTCCCATGCAGCCACTGTGGAGGGGACTTGCTGGCAAGGCAGCTCTACTTCAGGATTGCTGCTGAGCCCCACGGTAGAGGAAGACAGGGCATGGAGCACAGGATGGAGCTAATCAGGCCAGGGCAGCAGCACGAAACACTGAGGGTGAGGCACTCTTGCCCCTAGAGGGTGCAGGGGCAGTTCTGGGGCTCTGAGGTCCACAGCATCATGTACCCTGATAGACTGAACCATACCAAGAGTCAGCCTCCCTGGCACATTGCTAGGCACGGTGCCCCTCACCCAACTCTGTCTTTTCTCTATCCAGTTTTCACCACAGAGATGGCCTGCTCTAATCACATTCAGGACAGACAAGCAGAAGGCAACCTCCAGGCAAGAGCCTCAGCTAAGGAGAGATGATTCTTCCCAGATACTGCAGTCCCTGGTCTCCCTGGGAGCAGAGCATGGGAAGCTCAGCCCAGCACAGTGCTCTGCAGAACTCCCTTCATGTGCCTTCAGCCATCCCAGCACACAGAAATCCCACCACCACGAAACCAAGCCACCCGGTAAGAAGATAACCCAACAATAAATCTGTCTGTTACCCATAACAACAGAAAAGCCCAACATCCTGCTCTCTCCATCTAGACTCAACAGTTTCCACCAGAAGACATACTGGTCCCAACACCAGATGAGCAGAGCTACCCCATCTCCCGAACCCATCACCAGTGAAAGGTCCTTGACAACTAAGCATAGAGACAACTTCCCCCTCCCCTTTGCACTTCCTGGCTCTGCAAATCCTCTGCCCTCCCCATAGCATGAACACTTGCGAGGGGTTGGGGCATGGACAATACCTGGATTGCATGGTCGGGGGGCCCAGCCACTCAGCCACAGCGATTCCCAGCTCCAGCACTTGCCATCTCGAGGGAAGGAGCAGATGCCTCTCTCCTGGAGAGCGCACAGGGAAGGCAACTGCTCTTCACTCACACTGGAGCAGGTTCCTATGGCGATGCAGAATCAATTATAATAAAAGGTGGAGCACAGCTATTGGAGCTGGGAGAAGTTTTGTGAGCTGCCTGCCTGGGAAAGCGATGCTGTAAGAGGAAATGGGGCTGGGGACTGTGGGCTGGGCCTGGCCATCCCTGGGATCCAGCTCCTGAATCCCAGTGTCCCCCTGGGTGCTCCATGCTCTCCCAGTTCAGTACGTACGGGGTCTGCCAGGCACCTACATGTCTCACCCACATTTCCCAAAAGGAAGGGAAGGCACTGGGAGCAATCTGAATTATCCAGCTACAAATCTGTCTAGCACAGGCCTTTGCACTTCCACCCTTACCATGTCCCCATGGAAGGAGCAGATCCCAGCATGGAAAGGTGTTGTACAGCAGAACAGACAGCCCTTCCTTTCCCATGAAACCCTCCTTTTGTACAACTCCCTTGCAAAAGTTGCTCCAGCTGTGTCTGTCCCAGAGCCACAGCTTTGCTCTCAGCAGGCTGAGATGCACCAGGAGCAAGGACAGCCTTCCTGCTGGGCAGGCACACCCCTACTATGCCTGCATTAAATCCAAGCCTGACTTCATGCAGCACCCAGCACATGGAACTGCACCTCCAAGATGCAGTTTAATTATGAGATGCTGGGTGCACAGCTGGCCATGAAGATGTTTAAGGAGTGAAGGATCTGGGAGTGCAAAATATCACTACAACCCTGTATGCACCTTCTCACTCCAGGCTCAAGGAGTGATCCAGGTTCAGTGCCAAGCCTTGCAGCTTTGGGATGCAAAGTGCTGTCAGGCTGGCAGTGTCACACCCAGCTCACGGGGAAACAAGCTGAGGTTCGGGAGAGGTCCAGGAGTGTGAATACATGCTTGGACCTCAACTAGAAGCCACACTCAGCCCCGCTGCCTAACACTCCTGCACAAGCTCGTGGCTGAGTGTGTGCCACCAGCTCTGCCTGCTGCTGCTTCCCACCTGCACGCCCTCCCCACCTCTGTGTGTCAGATCTGTATAAGCAAATGATGGCAATCTTTTCTCTTCTGGAGAAAGGTGACAGGAGCCTCGAAGCCTGGGCAATATGATTTGGAGGAAGAACTAACACTAGATGCAAAAGGAGAGTGTCAGGGACAGGAGGGGTCAGTATAACTGGCAGACCCACTGCAGCAGTGATCATGGGGAGATGATCCACATCCAGTTTTGATGATCATCCACAGACAAAGGCTGTGTCTCCTTGTTCTGAGTCCTGAGTTAAAAGATATGGGGACAGGGTTGGCAGGAGCTCAACAAGTGAAGAGTGCCTGGTAAACAAATATACGTAACCTGACCAACAGCATCCCTGAGTTTTTGGCAGAATTTAGCTGTCTGAGCAAGCCCAGAAAGCAAGATTTGGCCATTCCCAGGCACCATGAGTGAGAATGGCAGTCAAGTTCTGGAAGCAGGATATCCCTCTGAACGCAGATTCTCCTGTAATTTGTCACTGCTATGTCCACATGTGGCTCCTGTCATCTGCTAACAGCGGGGCCTTGCACACGTAGATCCTCATGAATGAAAATCTTCATGAAAAAAAGAAGGAAAGAAGAGAACTCTGACCTACAGGGACTCCCAGGGAACAAAGGCAGATGTTCAAGCAGGAGACTTAATGGAAGGGAAACCAGGGGTGACATCCACTGCTATGTGCTCTTGTGAAAAGTGACTCATCCCTCCTCATTCATGTGCTCAGAAAGGGACATAAAAAGCTGCTGTACTTCTACTGGCTGTTAGTGGCACCCGTAAGTATGGATTAGAAGCCCAAGTTGCATGTAGCTGCTGGGAGGTGTTGCAGTCCTTCTCCACACTGCTTCCTTGTTATGATTTCACAATTTCCCCAGTGCAAAAATCCATTCTATAAAAACTAATCACCAAATCATAAAAGCAAAATCCTCCATGGTTCCCCTTCAGCACAGTGCAGCATATTCCCTTCCTTCAATAAAGTAATTCATTGTAAATATCTAGAAATAACCACAGTATTTCCTGTCCAATCCACCGCAGCTGCTAATTGAAATGCAATTTTGTGGTTGTGTTTGTTTGCTTGTTTTTCAGAGATGCTTACAGAAAACATTCTAACACTTAATCATCACAGAGACCACACACTGCCAGGAGCAAAGGGCCATGAGTGGCCTCCCTGCAATATTAATATTGCTTTGCTAGTCATCAGTCTTTTGGCCAGAACTGGGAGTATGTGAACGAATCATAGCTAAAATTCTTCCTCATAGGCACTCATGGAAGTGTCATAGGAGCCCCTTATGATCTGTGGTGTCCCTGGCTGTGGAACTGTGTGACCCGTAAGCCAGAGGAGCTGCTTGCACAGGGGTGCCTCAGGACCCCCTTGCTGATGTGTGGCTACTGGCAGAGTTGAGGGGCTCTGCACTGTGCAATCCATCCCTGCCCAACTCCCATTATGCCTCATTCCAGCCCAGCATAGGCCAACTCAGTCCAACCCTTCTCAACATCCACATTGGCCCCACAGCCATGGCTTTCATGTGCCTCATGCGCTGTGATTAGCCAAGGAGCTTTGCCACATCTTTGCCTAAGGGCTGAACACCCTTAGGTGTAGGCCAGAGTTGGTCGTGCGCCAGCAGCGTCCAAATTCACAGCAGCAGCTGGTCCTGGAGTGTGCGGCTGAGCTGCTGCTGGGTTAAATCACAACAGTCCATTTGGTGCCCAGTGTGGGGCTCAGTGGGTTGAGATAAAGGCATATCTGACCAGAACACGTAAAAACGAAATTGTTGTGTTACAGTAGGTCAACAGCTGCTGGCACAATGCTGATCTTGTTCTTCACAGTGTGGTTTTATTTGCTTTCTGGGTTGTTTTTCTTAACTCCTTCCAGGTTTACCATCTCAGGGGGCTGGCCTAAGCTTATTTGTAGTTTTGCCAGCTTATATATAGCAGACACTCATGTTATACTGACCATGGATTTAATTTGACATCTGCACTC